GGGTGTCCAGGGGCCTCCTCTGTGGGTGTAACTCTGCAGCTCCCCAGAACAGCAGCCATTCCTTTTCTCTCTCTTTGCTCTAGTGAGTAGTTGCTCTTCTTCCTCCGTTTGCTGCTTCAATCCTGGCTCAGAACGTGTGCTCCTGGCTGCTGGGAGGACAGAGTGCTCTCTGTCCCCTGCTGGGAGCTCTTGTGTGCCAGGGCTGGTGCAGGTTCAGGGGTGATCAGTGAGTCCATGGAGGGGAGTCACCAAATGCTGCTGAGTGCAGTTTCTCTCGCTCTGGTTCCTCACTGTGGGTGCTGGGAGTGGGGAAGGGGCTTCTCCAGCTCTGCTCTAGTTCTCTGCAGGCCCCCAATGCTGGCTGTGTGTGTCCCCTAGCCTGACCTGGCATGGTCATGGAGGGACAGCATGAGACTGACAATGGACACGTGGTAGTAGAGGAGCAGCACTGGGCAAAGCACAGGAAGAAAAGGGGGTGGGAATTGGGGAAGGATTTGTAGATAAAGGGCTCAGAAAGGACTGGGAGGACGACCGAGTCCTCTTGGGTGCACAGTGCAGGCTGTGGAGTCCTGTCACTGAGCTCTGGATGACGTGGAGATCTTCCCTGTCAGATGCTAGAGCCTCCCTGCTGAGAGAGTTCGTGGAAACCTGGTTTGTAGTTGGTTGGACAACACCTTGAGGCTGCTGTGAGCTCTCCCTGGATCACCAGACTCCTTCGAGCTGTGTTGTGCTGGCGTGTGAGGGCAGGGACAGCGACGTGCCCCTGTTCCACAGCAGAATGTCACAGTTCAGCCCAAGGAACAAGGTCCCCTGTGGCTTTCCTGTCTGTTGTAGGGTGAGATATTCTGCTTGGGCCCTAAAAGCTTGTCTGTCTCTCTTTGATCTGCAGCTTCATAGCTGCTGGAGAGTGAGTGCAGCTCTCTGGGGACTGAGGGCAGCAAACTCACCCCCCTCCCTGTGCTGGGCTGGCCCTGAGCAGTGGGGCTGGGCAGGGATGGGCCACAGTGACCCGGGGACAGAGGGTCTTCCTCTGGTGACCAGGGCTTTCCTCAGCTGCCCCTGTGGCCAGAGCTCCTTCTGCCTTTGGGGGCTTCTCCAGGTGGCTGTTCACAGCTCTAGAGAAGTGACAGATTCTGTTTGTTCCCTTAACTCATCCATTGGCTGGTTTTAGAATAAATTTGTCTCTCCCACTGGTTATTTTAACCGTGTCCTGGGCTGCCCCCCCAGCAGCG